AAAATGCGCTCTACTATATCAGTCGAAGGTTGATTGCAGCAGAAAGCTGTTATTCCCCAATTGAAAAGCATTGTCTCGCGCTGATTTTCGCGGTTCAGAAACTCCGCCACTATATGCTATCCTATAAAATCACACTGATATCAAAGATCGATCCGCTGAAGTTCTTGATGACAAGACCAGCATTGACAGGTCGTCTGACCATGTGGGCAGTATTGTTATTGCAGTTTGAAATCATATACATGCCACAGAAGGGGGTGAAAGGACAGGTCTTGGCAGATTTCCTCGCTGCACACCCAATCCCGGCCGATTCTTCACTAAATGATGATTTACCTAATGAGCAGATTATGCAGGTCGGGAGAATGAAAGGCTACCATTCTTGGAAATGTACTTCGACGGGGCATCATCGATTAGACCTGTCCGACCTCCAAATATTGCAAGAGCCTGAGCCGGCATCGGTCTCATTTTTGTAGCACCCGAGGGAGGAATAATGAGGTTCTCATTCTGTTTGACTAAACCTCGGACCAACAACGAAGCTGAGTACGAAGCTCTTTTAGCAGGACTGGAGATCACGATAGATGTCAGAATCCAACATCTCCAAATCTTTGGTGTTTCTCAGCTTATAATAAATCAGGTCCTCGGCATTTATAAGGTTGGCAAAGTCGAATTGGCCCACTATCACCGGCGAGCCCTCGAGCTTCTAAAGCAAGTACCAAATGTCAAAATGGCTCGAGTTCCTCGAGGACAGAATGCTAAAGCAGATTGTCTGGCCAAATTAGCCAAAGAGATGGTGAACATCAATGAGGAGAGTCATATATTCATCGAGGTTTACACTCGTAAGGTCTTGGAACCCGCTCTATTACAATTTCTGAGGCTAGAAGGAATTCCAGATTCAAGTCTGCAGGATGAAACCCCAGTTGACCATCAACCTCTCCTTCAGATCGTTAGGGAGAATTATCCAGAAGAAAATCATATAGCCAAGAGACATAAAGCTAGTCAAGTTTCAGAATCGTGGTGGCATTGTTTAGATATTGATGTCGAAAATGATTGGAGACAGTCATTCATTGACTACTTCAAGGAAAACAAACTCCCGATAGAAAAGTCTATGGCCGCACAAATTCGAAAAAGGGCGTTGAGATACGCATTTGTTAATGACACGTTGTAGAAACGAGCCTTTGATCAAATGTGGATAAGGTGCCTAGGGACCAAGGAAGCTGATAAAATAGTAACAGAAGTCCATGAAGAACTTTGTGGAGCACATTAGTCAGGTCCCAAGATGGCTGCCAAAATCAAGAGAATGGGTTATTATTGGCCGACCATGGTCAGAGATTGTATTGACCACGCTAAAAGGTGTCATAAGTGTCAGATCCACGGCGATGTTATACATCATCCGCCAAATCCACTGCACCCGACAATAGCATCCTGGCCATTTGAATGCTGGGGCACAGATATAATCGGGCAGATAGATCCGCTGTCTTTAGCGGGACATCGTTTTATTCTGGCAGCAACAGACTACTTCTCCAAGTTGGCAGAAGCGGCTCTATTCAGAGAGGTCACATCCGAGCATGTGATCAACTTTTTCACCCACAATGTTGTCTACAGATTTGGTTTGTCACGCCGTATAATTTCAGACAACGGCACTGCATTCAAAAGTACAAAAATTTACAAGTTCGTTGATCGACACAAAATCGATTGGCGATATTCATCTATATACAATCCAAGAGTAAATGGCTTGGTGGAGGCCTTCAATAAGACGTTGGTGAAATTATTAAAGAAGATCCTCACCAAGAACAAAAGAGAGTGGCATACGAAGATGGCAGAAGCTCTATGGGCCTATCGTACAACTTACAAAACACCAACGAAAGCCACTCCTTATTCATTGGTGTTCGATGTTGAAGCCGTATTACCATTGGAGATCGAACTACCGTCACTTCGGGTAGCAATTCAGAATGATCTCACTCAAGAGCAAAATGCCTGTCTCATAATGGAAGAGCTCGACGCACTTGATGAACTCAGGTTACAAGCTCAACAAAACCTAGAAATCTATCGAGGAAGAATGATGAAATCCTTTAATCGGATGGTGCGCCCCCTCGAACATTTCAAGAAGGGGAATTGGTTCTGGTGCTGAGAAGACCAATCATGCCACACCGAAAAATTGGTGGCAAATTTGTATCCAATTGGGAAGGCCCCTCGTCATCGAGAAAGTGTACCAAGGAGGAGCATATCAGTTGATCTATCTGAACGATCAGAGACCCATGCCGCCTATCAACGGTCGACATTTAAAGAAATATCATGCATGAAAATTTTATGACTAATGTATTTTGTGATGATCAAAATTTTATATGCACATTTATTAATGCATATTTGTTTATATTTTGAAATTCTCTTGTATAGCAAGAACACATTTCAAAATCCCCTATTAGACTGGGGGTATTTTAAATATTTATTTGGGTCGACATCGTGCTATGCGCCGAGATCCCCAAATAAATATTTAAAATCTTAAAAACAAAAAGCCTATCCAAAATGTCCCTACGAGACAGGGGGCATTTTAAATATTCATTTGGGTCGACATCGTACTATACGTCGAGATCCCCAAATGAATATTTAAAATTGTATATTACAAATCTATTCTATTCTAGAATGTCCCTGTGAGACGGGGAATTTTAAATATTTATTCGGGTAGACATTGCGCTGTATGCCGAGATTTCCGAATAAATATTTAAAATTATCAATACAAATATTCTTTTATATTCAAGAATATAAGTTCTTTTTCAAAGTATATGCAGGTGATCTCTCAAAAGACCGAGTCAACACCTTCTCCAACAAACCAAGACTCAAAAGTCAAGAAAGAGACTTTTGTAGCTACACACTCCTACAAAATTGAGCCGAAGAAGCTTGAAGTCTTCCGACAGCCTGAAGCTTAAGGTTCGAATGGGTGCAAAAGGTCGGATCCAACACGCCCAAATATGGTCGGATCGTTGGCAGCTCCGTCTACTCAACAAGCCATA